TCTTCTGAAGACACAAAGCGATCTTGCTACTCTTTCCTGGAAGGGTAGCAAGGCAGGAAAAATGTTCACAAATTCCAAGAACCCAGAAGAAGTCTAAAGAATAAGGGTTTGAGATGTAAAGTTGCCATGAGCAGTGTAGAGATATCCAAGCTTATTTTAATTAATCCAGTTTGACTCTAGGCATCTGACTGCTGCTGAATGGAGCTCACGGTGGGCTGGTTTACCGTGCTGCAGGCAGTGCTGTGCTGTCATGCTGTACATTTTCAGTACCAAGGTGGGTCAGTTGAGCATGGTCTAAGTGCATCTTCTTTATGTTGCAGTCTGCTGTAGGGGCATATCCAAAGTACTGATGCACATTGGTGCAGCTGCAGCTGGTGTGACATTGTGAAGCTCCTGAAGACCCCATATGCTTTTGAAAATGGAACTTTGCTCTTGCATTTCTACATGGTTTTACAGATGTTATCCCAGAAAAAATGCACTTAAAATATGAGATACTTTGAGTTTAGTGGCCTGTTCATCTGCATATGCTTTTTTCATCTAAGAGTATTTCACTACAGTTCCTTTGAGTGAGAAGAATCTACATCTGAAATACCAGCTTTCAGATGCATGTCCTGAACAAAGGGATGAAAGAGCTCTGTCATACCTTTCAGAGTGTGAAGCTCTATTTCCTGTTTTGCTACGTGGGCTATGGTTCTCATAACGCACATGTTCCACTCCACTTGCCCAGCTATTGTCTTCTTCATCTGAAATACAACCCGTTTGTTACAATACATTGGGTATATGTGATTCCAAGTAGAGACTGGTGTCTGTTAGCAGTCTTTTTCCTCTTCATAAGCAAGAAGGGGGAAGGTAGCAAATATTAAAAGTAGGTAGCAAAAAGAAGGTAGCAAATATTAAAAGTATTAAAAGGGAAAACTGTTTTTTTCAAGCAGTACATAGTTTAAGAAGTTGGGTGAACAAAGGACTTGCTGCTGAATGACTTCATGGGAACAGAAAAGTCTAAGACTGCTGCTGAAACTATGCCTGACTGTCAGTATTCAATGTTTTGAAGTATGAGAGGCTGAAATTTTATTCAAGGCCCTTGAAACTTACGGACTCAAAGGATTAACCTCAGCCAAAGGCAGTGAAAGCAGAGGCTATTCAGGCTCCTCCCCACATATTTGTCAATAAACCTCAATCATGACCTGTAATAGTCTTGGTATCCCAATCTTGTGGTGTTTGAGTAAACACTGTCAATCATACATAAATTCTGTGCTGGTTTTCTGTCATGTGGATAAACACCTTTCAGAGTTAGGCTGAGACCACCAAACTCTTTCCATCTGAGCCTTTGACCAGACTCATGAAACGTTAAAACTGTAGCATATTGCTATGCCACTACTTACCACACCACAGCCTTCTTAAACGTTTCTCCTACTCGTAAATCAATGGCTTCAGTTCTTTTTCTCTGTCGTGCATAAGCTGGAAAGTAACTCTTCCTAGGATGACACTGTTCCCAAGAAAATTAAATTCATGTTATTGAAAAACTTTTGAGGGCAAGGACTGTGTTTTTTTCAATGCTATGAGTGACCAGCAAAGTAAAGGGATATGTGTTCATGTTGAATTAGTCCTACTGCAATAAAAATAACAAGCCTTTGGATGGATTGACAGCAAGTATCTCATTCTTTGGTCTTCTCTTTGACTATGGTCTGGTTAATTTTCCAGGCATACTTACTCATATGTTTGACAATAGCCAAGAGAATTTATGTCCCACAGTTTTTCAGGTCTTACAGTCAGATCTGGTTTTCACCATTTCTTGCAGGTTATCTTAGTTTGCTCAGGAAAAAAATGTTTATTCTGCTTGAAAGTGGGTAACTTTATAGCAGTTCCCAGAGCATCTCTAAAGCAAGTCCAGTAACACTTAAGGACTTCCTAGAAGCAGTTACCAAACCATTAAGAGTCAGAAGACAATTGTTTTCAAATGCATTAGCGTAACTGTGTCTTTTCTTGTAAATGCATTAAGCATTCAGACTGTATATTGTAAAATGAACATGATCTGAGGTTGCATTTGTCAGATTACAGGTTGTAAGAAACTATGGAGACTTCAAGACACATCTTCTAGTTTTCTTTGTTCAAAAAAACCCAAAGTATTTTTGTAGGAAGGCGGGTACTCTGCTAGGTTATAGTAAGAGCCACTAGGCAGTAGACAAATAAAATAAAAGAGACATAGATTTGTAGCTGATAAACTTTTTTTACTTTGCTACAATTAACTTGAAAAAATGTCATAATTAAAACACGGGTACTCTGTGAGTGTCTGCTCAACAATGTTCTAGTTCAGATCAACACATCAGCTGGTGTATGACTCGCAGCCAAACATCTTGTTGAATACTTGCAGGATTTCCCATAGCGGATCTTACTTTAATCAAATAATTCAAACATTTATTTTGTATGTACAATAGAAGGGCAGGGCTTGTGTTTACAAAGTATTCAGTATGGAAATCCTGTATTAATTGAGGTACATTTACTTCACTTAGGACAGTGTCCACAAAGTAATTCTTTATATAAAAGGTCTTTTACTGTTGCCTGTTCTAAAGGGGCAATCACATGCAAAACTGACCTGTCACGTACAGAAAATCATGAGGAAATTACTTTAGAGGTGTGCACTGTGGACAGCATAGATGTTCCTAGCTAAAGAAGACAACTTTATGGATGATTTTCTCACAGTGGATGTAAATATAATTTATAAAAAGGAGATTTATCCCTATGGAAACTACTAAATAAAGAGACTGTGTCTTCTCAATCTATTTCCAGAATTATTTGCTTGGGCAATGCCAGATGTCTTTTTATAATATCAAGGATTCATATAAGCTGTGCTTTAAATTATTGTCTTTCCAAGGCAGCAGCTGAATTTTCAGTGAGTAAATGCAATGTGCTTCCACCCAGCCCAATGCAGGATCTGGAGTTTTTATTGTTAACAGTAAAGCATTTAGGGTTTCACATAAAGGGTGTATAAAAAGGAAGGATAATATTATTACTCAGTGAAAATATTATTAGTCAGTCAAAAGAGCCTAGAATTGCACTCCTCTGAGTTCTGCTGTGCCAGAAGATGCAAGAATCCTAATAAGCCACGTACAGAAGCCTTAAACAGAGAATCAGCATTTCCCTCCACAGTGAGTTGGAAATTACATGTTGCTTCATATTCTATACAGTGAAATCTTTTTTCCTTTTTTTCTTGAGTTATAATTTTGCTGTAGTTGAAAATATAACTTTGCCAGTGTATTAAATACCTGGCAAAAAAAAAAAAGGTGTTTTAGAACATTTTTAGGTAAACGTAGATCAACACAAAGGAATCATACAGTTGGAAATATTTTCCAGTGTTTATGTTCAGATGTTCAGACCTGTCTGGCTCCTCTCTATTTGCATGTGTTGGGGTTATAGGCAGTCCGGCTGCATTCCACATTGATTTATATAAATATATTGCAGATTATTAACCTCCAGCCAAATACCAGCAAATTTCACTTTTCAGGAAGGTTTGTAACTTTTCACAAAACTGATTTACTGTGTACAGGGCATCTGTCTTCCTTATACGTCCCATTAAGGGAATCATAAAGAGAACAGTATTTGTCTTTATGAAAAATGTGCCAAGACATTTGCTGTTACAGTCACTATGTTACAGTAATAGTTTAATTATTTGATCATATGATGATTACAGATTAAGTACAGATTATTCTTCTGGTAGAGGTAGGGTGACAGTCTCACCATATTCTGTAGCCCTCGTTCCCAAGTTATTACCCTCTGAAAAGCTTCTTTAAACTGCAAGGAACGTGCATGCATCCATTTTCAAAACATGATGGCTAATAAACAACTTTTAAGTGTCTGACCAAAGATTATTTAGGAAATGCTGTTAAAGTGGGGCCATGGCCTTAACTTGTTAAATCTGTATGATCTCAAGTGAAACATACTGCTCTGTTAAACCTGGATTACAGTCTTCACAGATAGTTGTGCCAATTCTTATCTTCCCTTATCTTTTAAGGTATTTAAGGTAAGAAGTAAAAACTTAGTACAAAGTGTTTTCCTAGTCTGTCCTCTTTGAAAAGCAGTGACCCTCCCAAGGCTTTGTGTGTGGTCTGTTGTCTACAGATCCTGTATATAAAGCCTCCAGTCCTAGGAGAAAGAACAAAAATATTTCTTGACGATATTATCAGAAATCTTGCACTTTGCACAAAGTAAGGAAGCAGTTGTTCTAAGTAAGAGGATGAAAGATACATGTAATAAAACAATGTAGCTGCTATGATGTTGACCAAATAAACAGTAGTATCACCACTACTTTGATTTGTTATCAGTGATAGGTTCTTCAGCTTAACTGTATAGACTTTTTTCTCATTAACTGTGTTCATACATGTTTTAAATCTACTGTCAACTAATAAAAATAGTGATTGATTCTCTGCCTCGCCACAGACAGAAAGGCAATATGATCTGTAGAATTTAAAACTAAATGAATAAATGCATTAGTAAAGTATGTGAGCAGGGAACAAGCATCCTTCTGTCTGTAAGCTGTTCTTCTATTGTGATTTTGTAGAAGTGGGACTTGAGGAAGGGTAGTCAGAGTCACTGGTATGAGTATAGGTGTGAACCATAGAAGGATGGGCAGACGTTTGTGAAAAAGATAAAATAGTGATTAAAGCTGGTACAATAGGTGAAGTGGAGAAGATGAGAGACATCCTAATTAAAAAGGAAAAACAATAGAAAATAGAGTATTCAGATAGGAATGTGACATTATGAAGAGCTTTGTAAATTAGTTTGAATTTGATGTTGTGCAACAAGGTGAAATGATAAAGAAGTTTCAGTAAAAAAATGAAAGTGATGAGAGAAGGAAGCTTTCTCAGTAGTGGCATCTTGTGCACAAAGCTTTTTCCAGATTGTATCCTGACTCTGAAGGGATTCCTTGTGTCCAGGAACTTGTAAGAGTAGTCAGCAAAAATACTCTGTTTCCACCAAAGGAGATTTACTTATAAAGCCGCGTAATGGTGAACATGGGAGTTATGTGGGAAGAAACTGAAAGTGCATGTAAACACCATGTATATTTTTACTCAAAAATGTCTCTCTCAGATTTTTTTTTTAATGAGTGCTAAATGCTGCATCATAGAATGTAGATAAATATAAAGTGATTTTCTGTACTAAATCTAGGTGCTCTGTCCAAAAAATACTTGCTTTTCATGTAATTATTTTACTCTGAACAACTGATGAATTCTTAATACTTAATCCTATTTCAGAATCCACACATGAAAGAGAGATATGATATTATTGATGTATCACCAGTTATCTGATGAATCAAGATATCAATGATTGCTGTACCTTTGGAAAGCTCTTTTTTCCATTCTGTGTACTGTAAGAAATTTAAATAGACATCTGTGAGCTGCAAGGTATGTATGTCTGTATGTGTTCCTGTATACTTACCTCCTTTTTTCTTTTTCTTCTTTCAGATTGTTTGATGTGTGCACTGTGTCACGAACAGACAGAGAGACCAAGTTAACTTTAGTGTTTGAACACGTGGATCAGGACTTGACTACTTACCTGGATAAAGTTCCAGAGCCTGGAGTGCCTACTGAAACTATAAAGGTATTTAAGAAGAAAGATTTTGGATACTATTTCAGAAAATATTAGATAGGAAGGGCAAAGACAAAATGCATTTTGATTCCATAGCATTTTGTTATATCAAAATTGAGTAATGCCCAGCTTGGGACATGAACTGCAGCACAAAGATCTATATTCGCTAGCAGATGTAATCTCTTTGTGGAAATGTTGCATGCTTTTTTTTTCTCTTTTAGATTTATAAATCCCCTGAAATCTCTACTGTTTTAGCAAATGTAGCATTGCAGATCATTAAGAATGACCTTTGTTTGCAGCTGTAGGCAGATGGTTCCATTATTGTTTAGTCCAAGACTACTTGAACCTTCCCTAGAAGGTGTCTGGTAGAGTGCTGGATATTGTTAGAATGGATAAAATAAATCTTGTGCTCCTATCCTCTTCCCTTTTATCACCCAAGATCCTCCTTTTGTTTCATGTCCCTCTTGCCAGAAAGGTTTCTATATGCTCCAAGAGCAGGAATGTTCACCATGGACCTGTGGTGAGCTCTGCTGAGGATGGGCTCAAGCAAGGGAGTAGCCATGGCTAGTTGTTGTAGAAGCTGGGGAGGCTCTCGGTAACTGGAAGGGTGATCGTAAAGTTTTCCCATAATATTATATCATATTCTGCATCTGTAAGGGAGGACCTCTTCCCAGGACAGGACATGCTTTCATTATTGGTACTAACTCCTCTTTTCTCCTGGGAACTTCACAGTGCGGTGCTACATTGAGGATCATAGCTTGAAATGTTTGACAAAATGTTTACGCCTGGGAATAGAGGCATTGATGTTCCTACATTTGACTGTGTCTAATTAACGTTTCTTTTGATTTTTCTTTTTTCATGAGGAGAAATAATTTGTGCTTTCAGAGACTTACTGTCTTGCATTTGTTTAAGTGCTTTCTGGAAGTATGTTGTGTCATCTTAGTCTGGTAAAAGTCCTGAGGGAGGAAAAGAAAACATGAAACCTATCTAAAATTTAGTTGGTTTAATTTTATTTTTTTTTTTGTTAACAGCTTCAAACTCAGGAGTTGTTTGATCTTTCAGTATAAAATTAGACATAAACGTGATAAAGATCTTTTTACTAGTATCAAAATCACAAATGTATAATGTTAGTCAGTTCCAGCAACCATGGTTTTTAAGCAACCTTAGTGGATAAAATAAAATTTAAAAAAATGGATACAGCTTTGATTCAGTCCCAGCAGAAGACTGGAATGTATCTCTTGCATTTGAAGGACTCTTTTATGATAATGCTTTTAGGGTTCTACTTCCTTCTAGGGCTTTGAAGCTACCTAAGGGAACTGTATTTCGATGTAACTAACGTGAAAATAACGTACAAGGTGATCTACATATTATCTAACTAAATTTATTGAAATGGATGGGAACTGAATGACCAAGCCTCTAAAATCTGTTTGAAATACCTTTCGAGATACGTTTCATTTCAAGCAAATAGAAGAGGTGAGCACTGGACTAAAACATTTGTAGTTTTCTAAAAGCCTGTTCTAAATTTGCACTCACAGACTGTAATACTTATGTGTGAACATTTCGTGGAGGTTATATACTGGTGAAGGAAATTGTTAGGTGTACTTTTGAAAAGCACTATTCTGCATATGTGGTTTACTAGTTCAATTTGGCAGAATAAAAGAGAAAAAATTAGCTGCACAAAAACAAGGCTGAGCAATTCTGGTCTTTTATGTACAGTGTAACTTCCATTGCGGCCAGTGAAATTAGTGAGTATAAAATTCAGCTTGTGGTACATACAGCTCCTTTTAAATGGGCAAGGAAAAATGTAAAATTGCTATGTACTTGGTTGTCCCTGTTGATTTCAACATTTGCACAGTAGCTGATGTGTTACTTCTTGAATTCTCTTTGGCATGGGGAAAAAAAGAGAGATTTGGTTAACTTAAGTTGCTTCACTATTTATGTGAAAACTCAGAGTTTATGGAGGTACTTTTGCTGATAGTCAGGGCTGATCACATGAGGAAGGGTCTCAAGGCTTATTCCTAATGCATTTTAATACCTTTTTAATGATACAGTCTTTATGGGTATTCCTGGTAGAAATTGAAACAAAGCATAGTTTTTCTGACTGCAGGGAAATACTGCCATTTTGCAGCAACTGAACATTTAAGCCAGAGCACATATATTGTTAAATGACTAACCTGACTTTTTATAGTTCGTCTTTTGAGGTTAATATGGATTTGTACTTCATTTATTTTTGAATTGCAGACAATTTGTGTAGAGTATTTCCCCTCACCACGAACACAGTACAAAACAATTGCCAGTATTGTAAGACCATCTGTTAAAGTTCTGCATGTATCAGCAACACAAAGATGCCAAATGAGCCAAGTAAGCTCTGGATAGCTTGGAGTTGAAGGACCTAATATACTTCTTTGGCTCCATGGTATAAACTCAACAGTGTTTCACATTCAAGTTCCACTTGAATGACATAAAATTACTATGAGAGAAGTATCAGCCCCAGAAGGTCTTCTCTGTGTGAATTAACTACCATCATCACATACTATTTGAGGGAGGGAGACTCAGCTTTTGGTGGTTTGGGGCATGCTGAGGTTTTTAGTTGCCAACTGTCAAGGACACCTGTACCATTTTAAGACTGTAGCAGTTCAGAGAAACTAACCGTAATCATGTAATTGTAACTAAAGCTTTTGTCTTAATAAAGCTTAACAATGCCTTTCTAATGTCTAAAGCCCTGCAGCAGGAGTCACCCCAGAGGGTATTTTAGGAAGATATACACAGTTGCCCAAAAAATGATAGAAGAGAAGCAGTTTCCCTTTTAGAAATTGCCTGCTAGTGGGAATACTTGCCCAGAATGTAGGGCAGACGTTTCCCCTCCCTGTCACCAGGAACATGAATGCTGTAGTCCATTTCTGTGGTTATAGCTCTGTCTACTGAGTTCTAGGTTAGTCTGGACAGAGTTATTTTAAATCTTTTCTGCTGAAGCACTTCCATTCTTTTTTAATGGAGTGTACTTTGGGCTAGAGGGACGTAGAACATGACTCCAGATACCTGTGGACATAGCATTCACCTTTAAAAAAGAATTTTGTTCAAGCCCTTAATCTAATTTTTTTGTAACTACTGGATTATAGTCCTGCTCACCCTTGCTGGCTTCCTCCGTCAGACCTGGTTAATATATTTTCCATGCAAGATGAATCAGAGTCAGCAATGATAACATCCTCCTTCTGTCCTCTCTACCCATCATCTCCTTCCTTCTTTTCTTCCTGGGATACTTTTTTTAGGGCAGTTTATGTGGAAATGCAAGGTATAAGTGCATTTTCCTTAGGGCACAGCTGTTAGTCATGCACAGGTCTTTGGTATTGTTGATGGCGTTAGCAGTTGAACCTTTTGTTAGTTAGGAACTTTTGTTAGTTGACATAAGGATAGTGTAAGTGGGAATGACACATGCCTGCCACAGAAAGATTAAAAAAAAATAGTTAACAGGCCACTAAAGCATTTTGAGGTGTTTGTCTTTAATCCCTTTAATGTCCTCAGTATTTTGAGGGCTGAAACGTGTTTAACCTGGGTGGTCACATTTTGATGTGATGCTGGTGAGGCTGGCATTGTTTTTTTGAACCTAAAGGATTTGAATATGGCTATGGTTGTTATAACACTAATTACATTTCTAATATGGAAATCATGTGCATGCAAACACATTGATGCTTACTGATTTAAGTTATTGCAGTGTATATAACAATATTTAGCTTTAAATTAGTACATGCATTGATGGCTTGGTATATAGAGCTGTAAATTAAGTGGTTTAGGAATGGCTACTCGAAGTTCCCTCCAGTCATTTTGTTCTGATGGGCCAAGGGTCTGTAAGAATGAGAGGGGATAACAAATTGTTACCAAGGTTCTTCAGTTTTAGTAATGAGCAAGGTTCACTTTGAGAGGTAATGGCATTATAAGTAGACTTGTGCCTTCTTGCAATAGTTTTCTTAAAACTGATGAGAACTTGGCCTACCCAAGCTACATGTGCTAACTGGGCCGTGCCTGTTTCAATCTGACAGTCAACAGAGGAGGGAACAGAACAAAGGTCTCCGGTATAGCAGGTGCATACATTATCTGTCATGGGATGTTAGAAGAGCTGGGAATATCCTTCTACCCAGGTCTGTGATCTGTGAATCTTCATGGTATTCCCCCTACCCTCGACCAGGGCAGCTAAATCACAGAGAGAACAGGGTTTAAGGTATATCCTTTTCTCTGATATTTGCTGATTCCTCACTTGAGTGAATGGCTTCTGTGGATATTATTCTGTATCTCCTTTGCACAGGAAGCCTAGATCTCCATCTGATTCAGGTGTCCAGATTTTGCTATTTAGGTGCTAAAATTTAGAAACTACAGCAGTGAACCTAATTTCCTTTTGTGGATTTATCTGATAGTAGCCCATAGATTGAATTTTAAAATATTACCCCCTGTCCTAGAATAAGTGTTGCTGTTGCATCCCTGTGCATTTCCTGTAATTTACATTGCCTGCTATCACACCAAGCAGACTGGTTACATCTTTGCAAGACTCTTAGAAAATTAATATGAAGATGTTGTTTCTCAGAAAGCAAACCAGTGTTCAGTGTTGTGAGGTGAGTCATCAGCCATCTGCCACAGTTGTACCTACTCAGTTGATCACGTATGAGATGTGGAGCAGATGTCACACAATCATGCAGTTCTGAAAACAACATGAGATATTCCAGGAAAACAGATTTGCCAGTACTGAGAGTCTTCAGAGTGTGGCCATATTTAACAACATCAAAGTTGAAAGTGACTAAAAGAAGAGCCTACTCAAATTAATAAGAAATCTACTAAGAGAAGAGCTATTACTAACATTTTCCTGTCAGTACTTTTGTGGTAAAGAAAGAAGCAAAACTTAGTGAGGAAATTAGAGTCCCCAAATAATGGATCAGATCCCCAACTGATACTAAGAGGTGTAAATCCATTAGCTGCAGTGAAATGACACCCATTTACAGATGCTAAAGAACTCATTCTTTGTG